CCCTTGCTCTAACTGCTACCCCCGCTGCCCTCCCAGCAAAACCAGGCACCTGGGCTCCCTGCTCTCCCAGCCCACCCTCCTTCCCCCCCCAGAGCTGAAAAGGACCCAATGATCCAGGCTCCCAGCCACCCTGCTCCCCCTCCCAAAGAGGCCAGGCGTCAGCGCGCACCTCATGGAAGCCCTTGCTGGCACAGAGCAGGCAGACAAGCTGGGTGGTGACGGGCACGGAGGTCAGGATGCTGAGGCCGCCCATGAGCCACACGTTCTCCAGGTCGCAGTCCTCCTGTGGGGGGGGAGGAGTATCTCATCAGCACCTGGCTGGCCCCTGGCTCCCCACTCAGCACAGGGGCAAAACACACAATGTCAACCACCCCCCCCGGCTCATCTCCCAGTTCAGGATATCCTCACAAAGGAGGTTGAAGGTAATGGGGAGGCCGGTACTGGGCAATGTTCCCCCACATCTGTATGGGGGCAGTTCTCAGCCCCCCATGGCAGCCTCAGGCAGTTATGGGGGGGGCTGAACACCCCCATTTCCTAGGGGCTGTTGAACTTAGGTCCAGACTGGATATAGGGACCTGTCCTGCAAAGGGGGGGAGCAGGAGAGCCCTGGGCTGGGGGGGTTCTCCATAAACCCTCTGGAGCAGCCTCCCCATGCTAAATGGAGACTTTGGACCACCCGCGCTGGGTGCCAGGTGATCCCCACAGGCACCAAAAGTGCCGGGCATCCCCACAGCTGCAGGTACGGGGTCCCGGAAACACCGGGCATCCCCACGGCCACAGGCACTGAGCCCTGGACGTCCCCCCAGCCATAGGGATCGAGTCCTGGAGGCACCGACCATTCCCCCGGCCGTGGGGACCGGGCTTCAAAAATGCCAGGCATCCCCCCCAACCACAGGGCAGGGATTGGGCCCTGAATGTCCCCACTGCTAGGAAAGCCCCCCCATCCCCTTCTCACCTTGAAGTCGACACGGAGCCGGTGGACACCATCTGTAGACTTCTGCTTCCCATTCCAGCCATTGGGGAAGGCGGGGAAGGCGCCAATGGGCAGCATGTCCTGCGGGAACAGCATCAGGGCTTGGGGGAGCTTCCCCCTCCACTCTTCCACCCCACAGGCCCAGGAGCATATGGTGATAGTGGTGGGATCCAAGTGACCCAGGCTGAGCAGATCCATAGCGGGGGAGATTATGACCCCCCGAAACAGGGGTTTGGGGGGGGTCCTTACCTTGTCCGGGCGCCTGCGGGCTTTCAGCTGCACCACAGGCTGCAGTGGGGCACGGCGGGGCCGGCTCTGCTCCTCCACTTCCATTGGAAGAAGGTCTGGGGAGGCAGAAGCAGAGGGGAGTGAGAGGCAGACCCCCCCCATTACAGGGGTGCAAAGAGAAGCCAGACAGGGCTGAGAGCGGGTGGTTTCTGGCCCCTGGAGGGGCGCTCCAGGGAGGGCCCAAGTGGCAAGGTAGTGTGTGTGGGGGAGCAGCCTTGGGGGCTTCCCAGGCTGGCAAGGGCTATGGGACCCAGCCAGGGGTGCATACAGGGTCCCACCAGGCTGGGTGCTCTGTGTTGGCAGCTGGGAGGGGTGTTCCCAGACACCTGGGTTCTCTGTTTGGTGGGGACAACAAAAAACCTGGGTTTTCTGTTATGGGGGGAGAAGGACACCTGGGTTCTCTTGTTGGGGGGGAAAGGGGGGGGTCTCACCGGGCTGGCAGGAGGCTTGTGAGGGGGCCACAGGGGGCCGTGATGCCAGGGTAGGGTGTATGGGGCGGGGGGGGGTTCACCAGGCTCTGGGTTGTGTGTGTTGTGCAAGGGGGCGGCGGGGGAGCAGACACCTGGGTTCTGTGCTGGGGTGGGGGGAAGCTCTGGGCACCTGGGTTCTGTGTGTTGGGGGGGCAGGGGGTATGGGAAGCACTGCAGCAGGGGTCTCATCAGGCTGACGGGGGTTATGGGGGTCACAGAAGACCAGTGCCTGGGCAGGGTACATGTGGGCCGGGTGGAGGGACACAGGGATCCTGCCAGGCTGGCAAGGAGTTATGGGGAGCATAGGGGTCCATGGTGCCAAGACAGGGTGTATATTGGGGGGCACAGGGATCTTGCCAGGCTGGCAGGGAGGTTATGGGGGGCACTGGGGCATGGTGCTAAGGCAGTGTATTTGGGGGTCAGGGGGGCTCTCTCACCAAGCTGGCAGAGGGATTATGGAGGGCAAAGCAGATTATGGTGCTGGGGCAGGGTGTATAGGGGTGGGGGACTTATGGGGGGCACAAGGGACCACAGTGCCAGGCAGGGTGTATATGATGGGGCAGGGGGGTCTCACTAGGTTGGCCAAGGGATTATGGGGGCACAGGAAGCCGTAGTGCTGGTGTAGGGGGTATGGGAGGGGGGAGCACAG